CGTGAATTGCTCAGAGGCACCAGTGAACTTAAAGAGGCAGGACAGTCGGTGTTGGTAGGCAAAGGTTTCAAACAGTATACAATGCAGGTGGTCCTTGACTTACAGCCGCTGGTTAAGGTGCTGCTCAAAGTTAAAACGGCACTCAAAAAAGCGACACATGACCCTTCTCCACACTTAACGAATGTTGCAGCGTCGCCACGGTCATGCGATCAAAATTCGAAGGCTTGACAACCGGCATGGATTTATGATGGTTTGCAGTGCCCCAGGCAGGGGTGGGCTTCAAAAGTTTTAGCAACGGGTTTTCTGCCTGATTGCATGGTGGGTGTGGGTTAATCGGACTCCTGCACCACACTCTGTGTGTGTGTGTGTGTGTGTGTGTGTATTTTCATCTCCCCAAGCTCCAGAGGCTTTTGTGAAGATTCCAAAGGATGGCCTAATTAATTTACAAGCCTCAAGACAAAAGTTCAAAAGAAATCCATTACTTTATTAGGATCAACATTTTGGCATGTTCTTCTGTAGAGCCGAAACTGGTTCCCGCTTAATTGCATTTGAACTTTACCCCCTGTATTTCCCCTCCCTTCTGTCTGTGTCATAAATCACATTCACCAACAAGATGCTACAGCAGGCTATGAGCATGCACATTTCACACACCAGCTGTAGGAATATGAGATCTCACTCTGGCCAAAGGTATGCATGGAATTCTACTCCCTTTTTTTTAATGTTGACTTGATAGTAGTCATGGAAACACTTTGCAAGTTGACATGCAGGCCCGGAGCTACCATTTGGACAGGGGAAGCTATGGGAGCTGCCCTTGCTAGCTTACTAGCTGGAGATCTCCCTCCTCCTCCACAAGCAATCCAGCTGAGAACTCTCCATCACTCTTTATGACTGACTGCAGGCTGCTTTCCACTGAGAACACCCCATAATTGATAACTGACTGACAGAACAATCCATGGCTGATTGACGGGTGGTTTTCACTCTGGGTCATGGGATGATGGGTGTGTGGCTTAGAGGTGGAACTCTCGCCTCACATTCAGGAGGGTGTGAGTCCAATCCTAGATTAGAGGCAGATATTTCTCTCTCTGGGCACAAGGAGAATATATCTGCTGAACAAAACTCCTCATTGGCAACAGGAAGGGCATCTGGCCACTCAGCTCCATTCAGTTGACCACAAGGGATTATGGGGTCGTTAAGAGAAGATGATGACTAAGCAGTCACTTGTCTGAAATGGTATAGGGCCGTGATGGCGAACCGATGGCCTGTGTGCCCAAAGTGGCACAGGGAACCAGGTCAGCTGGCACGCACGACATTGCCCATTCCTCTTTCTGGTGTGACGATCAGCTGGCCTTCGTGTGTGCAGCAGTGCCGGAAACTGACTATATCTGCTGAACATAACTCCTCATTGGTGACAGGAAGGGCAGTAAACACCCAGCTCCAATTGGTTGCCCAGACTCCACCCTGCAAGGGATTATTATAGGTTTTTTAAAAGGAGATGATGAAGAAGGGAGTGGGGAAGTAGATCCAGCTGGGGAGTGGATTGAGGAAGGGGTTTGAGCAGAGCCGGAGAGGACAAACTGTGGCCTTTCTGACCACTTTGTGGGGAAGTGAAAGCCATCTGCAGATGTTGTGCAGAAGGAAGCTAGAACATGGTCCTTACTTCACTCATCTTGGCCACCAAATAGCTATTTTCTCTGCTCTTGAGGAATCTCGTTCTTCTGATCTGCAGCCCGATTGGTCCTTCTTTCAGTAGATCCTGACCCTCCCCAGGACCCGAATCCCCCTTGGAAGATGACAAAACGAAAGGAAGGGAGTCAGCAGCAGCTGGGATGCTTTCTTTAGTTGGTCTTCATTCTTCTCCGCCTCTCTTCCACAGACCAAAGGAGGGATCGTAAACACAGCCATGTCTGCAGCGGCGCGAGGAAGAGGACGAGGGTCTCCCATGCGGGGGGCGTTTGTCGGGGCGGCAGCAGCCACCAGTTACCTGGCACCAGGTAGAACCAGCCAGGGTTATCCTGTGGTTGTAAGAGGGGGGACAACAGGCCCTACCATGGCTGACTATTAAAGAAATAATAATAATCCATTTTTATCCACCCATGTTGGTGGTTGCCTGCAAGTCACCATAATCGCAAAGAGCAGATATTCTGCAAGAAACCCTTAACTTCTGGGAGTTTGATGTCCCCCAAACTTTAAAGTTGTCAAGTTGGGAGGCTCCCGCTATATACTACATCTCACTGAGACCTACTATGGTTAGTCCTTGGACTTATGATGGCAATTAGGACTGGGATTTCAGTTGCTAATCAGTGTGGTCATTTCAGCGAGTCGTCACGTGACTGGATCTGATTTTTCAACCCCTATTAGGGTGTTCAGTCAATGAATCACACTGTCAACTCTCAGTGTTGTCACGGGGCCAGAATATGGGGGGAGGGGAGGTGCATTCCACGCATGCTCTCGGCTGGAGTCGCATGTCGGGTTACTGCTGCTGGTTTGTGAGGGCTGCATCTTGTAGGGTAATGTGGAAATCTTTCCGATTTCCTAAAAATGCCCTCATTGATTCGTAAGCATCGAATCAAATTTCCAATACAAAACCAGCCATTTATTAGGAGCTCCATTAGGCAAGATCTGTTCGCAGTCAAGCCTCAGCTTTGTTTGATTTAGCTCTGAACTTTACCCCGGTTCCTTCCCTCCCGCCAGTCTGTGTCATAAATCACATTACCCTATAAGATGCACCCCTCCCAAACCTGAGATCCGACTCCAGCCGACAGTATGGGTGGAATGCACCCCCCCCCATTCTGTCCCCATGACAACACTGAGACACATTTATTAAATGAATCCAGATTCTCCCATTTGCTGGTTGGAAGCGGGCTTGGATGAACCGCAGGATGCTGCTAGCGTCTTAAAATCTGACCGGCGGGCATCTCTGCCATGCCCCTTTGGCCATCCGTGCCCACCCGCGAGGACCTGTCACCGTTTCTTTTGTCTGCTTCCCTTGTAGGGTATGCGGCACCATATGGATACAACGCGGCAGCTGCTGCTGCACCAGCTTACGGTACGTCTTTTCCTTGTCTACGTGTATCTCCCCATTCTCAGGCCAGATTTGTTTTTTTTTGGGGGGGAGGCTGGGGGAGGAAAAGGGGGTCCTCTCTGGACGGCCATCAGCCAAGCTGCTCTTCTTGCTGTGGCTTGTTCCTCCTGGCTTGCTTCTGCCTGTCCGCGAAAGAGCTGCTTGCCCTAACTGCCTGCTCCCTCGTCCCCCCCCCGTGCCAGAACCGAGAGAACCGTCCCCTTCCTGAACGGCCATCTTGTGCTCCATTCAAAGCTGCTCAAAGGGCCAAATCTTCCTCCTCACTCCGAGTCATCCAGCTCGCCGAGCACGACAATCCCTCTGAAGTGAACGCAAAAGATTCCTTCATTAGGAGCGCCAGCGGCCCCGGCAAAAAAGTTTTTTCTCTCAGGCTAACAGGTCCGTCCGTTTGGAAGATGAATAGTTGTCTGCCACATCTATTCATCTCCACTCCCTGCCTTTCATCCCCAGTCTTAGGATGGGGCTTTGCTAGCATGGTCCCGAGGACCATCCCATAGATTTCCACTGTTCTCCTCTCCTTTGCCTTCTGCACATCCGCGCATCAGGCACTGGACTCAGCTGTTCCTCCTCTTCCTCATCAGCCATCTCCAGACCTGGGGGTTGTTGACTCTCCATCGGAGGGCTGACGGATGGCCCAGGCTCCGCCTCTCTGTCTCTCCCCGCTCCATTCCCTCTTCCCCCTCGGAGCTCTCAGGTTGTCCTGATGCTGATCCTGACTCCCACTCCGCCTCCTGCTCTGATTTGGCTCCCGGTGGGGGGGGGGGGGGGGGGGGCTGGCGGCCGACAGGCCACAACACTTGGCTTCTCTACCGCCTTCCCTCTGTGGTCCTCTTTTCTGATTTGCAAATGGCAAGGTCACCTCTTGGGGTCGGGTCCCGAGATGCTGTAGGCTGCCCTTTGGCCCTCTAGTGCCCCTCCCCCCCATGGCTGGGTCTTCCATTGCGTTTTCCATCGTCCCCTAATTTGTCTGGGGGCAGATGGGAATTGTTCAGCATCCTGCCTGCAGGGACACCCGAAGGAGGGAGGGGCTGTTAGTTGCCGCTCGGCCTAATCCTGCGGGGTCCAGAGCCCCAGATTTTCCACTACAAGACACTTAACTAGCTTTGCTCTTCTTTGAAGAGTCAAGTCAACCAACGTTTAAATTTGTAGAAGCCAATTCTCCTAACTCCGAATTCTCTTAAGAACTCCCCTACACCTCAGACTTACGACCACGATTCAGCCCCCCCAAATTTCTCCCGCGGCGTGAAACATTTTGTCGAATGAATTCTGCCCCCTTGGACGGCCTTGGCTTGCCACCGTTGTTAAGGGAATCAAGTCAGCAATGCTGTCGTGAGGTGGATCTGGCTTCCCCCGCGGCTTGCCAGAAGTGACCCTGCGACTGTCATAACTATGAGCCAGTTGCCAAGCGGCTGATTTTTGATCAGGTGAGCACAGGGGGAATCGCGAAGTGTGAAAAATGGCCATAAACCTGTTTCCAGGGACGTCACTTTGAAAGGGTCACTAAACAAACGAACGGTTGTAAGTCGAGGACTACTGTCCTGACTCCACCATTCTTGGAAAATCCACCCGTGGCAAGGACCAGGAGGCCTGCCCCCCTCCCCATCATTTTTCCTTCCCCAAGCCAGGGGAAGGAAAAATCTTGCTCCCAATAGGTGCTGCTAAGGCAGGGATGGTGAATCTTTTCGGCACCGTATCCGAACCAGAATGCACATGTGTGCCCACCAGAGCACCAGAAACTTGGAAGACCAGTTGGGCAGTGCGCATGTGCATGCCAGCTAGCTTGTCTCCTAGTTTCCAGCATGAGCCTGTTTTTTTTGGCTGCTTTTCGGGCCGTTTTTCGAGCTATTTTCAGGCCATATTTTTCAACTTGAAAAACGCCCTGAAAGGGGCCTGAAAAACGCCGGGTTTTGGCCATTTGGGGGTGCCTTTTTCAGGCCTTTTTCCTGGTGCCCGTGAAGACCAGCTGGCAACAGAGGGCTCTGCCTGCCCCCCCTCCTCCGACACAGGTTCACCATCATAGTGCTAAGGTCTACGCTTCGCTCCCCAACCTCAACACATCTTCGACTGCAACCCTTCATTTCTTTAAAAAAAATCCTGACTTTGAATAATTCGGGGAGGGGAAAAAACAACAAACAAACAAACAGAAAAGAATTGGCTCTTTGATGACTTTGAATGTAGTTTTATGCAGCAAAGAGGAGAAACGCCTTTGGAGTCAGCCATGGCCACTGCCCTCTGCCTTGCATTAGGTGGCTGGATGCCTTGGTGGCTCCGTGGGAGACCGGGAGCTTCCCGTTATGTCTCCGCATGATTTCCTGGCCCACTTCCAGTCTGACTTTTGCAGGGGGTTGCATCAGATTGATGCACGGAAGCACAACGGCGTTGCCGGATACTTGTGGAGGCGGCGCTCCGAATCTCCCTCTTCTTGGAAAGGAAGTGTTCTGACTTAGACTTCCTGAGAAAGCATAAATCACAATCTTAGTCCCCAAACCCCTCTTTTATTTAGACGGCTGTGAATTATGGTCATTTACAGCCCGTAATGATTCACAGTCTGTGAAGAGTCCGACAGGTGTCTGCTCGAGTTGCCACTGTCTTTCAGGGGAATGTTGATAAACACTCACCTTTATCTCCCTTGAAACGCTGCCAGAGACCTAATTGCCCATTAGTTTCGCAAGGCCAAAGGCAGCACAGAGTCAAACGGAGCTTCTCAGAGCTTCAACCGACTAGACGAACTAATTGCTTCCTGCACAAAGGCTAACGTCCATTTGCTCCTCTTTTATGTCTTATGGGAGGGGCCAATCATCTCCAAGCCTTACTCCCAAATCGCCCCTTTTGTCTTAACTATTCTTGCCTTCTGGCAGCTCTGTGCATGTGCACACTGGGAACAGGCTCACACTGTTCTTCTTCCTCATTGATGTCAGACACTAGAGGCTCTGGAGACATAACTCCCAGATGGCCCTGCACCCCCCTCTCTGCCTCTGACGCAGAGTCCTCGTCCGAGCCTTCCCCAGACTCCAGGACTGGCCCATCTTACTCCCCAACCTCCTCTCTGTCCGACTCTGCTGCTAGATCTGCAGGCTGCTGGCGGACCACAACAGGGAGTTCATTAGTGCAGGGAGAGGCTGCTTTGCC